ACTTGTCATTAATGTTATAAGGGCTTCTAAATCCGGTGATAAAGGCCTTTCTTCTTGTTCATCTAGGCCGAAATCAAGTGCTTTGAATATCATCATACCTAATGAAAACATAGCCTGCACAAATAATATATTTTTTTTTTATGAAATAACATTTTTTTTTTTTTTTATGTAACTTTAAATGAAATACTCACCTTTTTTTCAGATACATGGGGTTTTTCCAATTCTGTAATAAAAATATTGAAATATAAAAAATAAATTTTAAAATTGTCAAAATTTGTATATAATTAGAAATATGATTAATTAATATGCAAAATTCAATAACTTTCAGTAATTTTTTTTATATTTTTTTATCTTAAATTATTTACAAGTTATACGCAATTATACGATTTATAAAAATATTTACAAATTTTAAATTACAAATATAAATTTCAGAATATAAGTGAATCTTGTAAAATCATCAATTTTTCTTATATATTCTTTTTGCTTACTATCTATTGCAATGATTTTCAATCTTTTTTTAATTTCACGGCATAAACTATTCAAGAGGTTATAGAACATGTGACTATTTTTGATATACATTCAGAATAGAAAATAATATAAGTAAAGATAATGAAATAAAATTAAATACATAATAATTTTTTGATACAAATAATAATAATTGAATTTAAAAACTTGAATAATGAAAAAAAAATCTATAAACCCATTTAATAAAAAAAAAATATATTTCTGGATTTTTGTTTTATAAGATTTTTGTTTACAAGAAAAAAATTAATATTTTTTTTCTGTGAATATTTTACGACGCATTTAAAATCTATAGTGTAAAGTAGTATATTACACATATTAAAATATTAAATTAAAACATAATATATATATATATTATATATACACAAATAAATCTGTACAAATAATTACATATTATTTTTGAATATATTAGATATAGCTAAAAAAAAATCATATAATCAAAAATAATATATTATAAATCAAATAATATATAATTACATTATATTAACTAAATACTACATTATTTTATAATTATAATATCTTATAATAATTATATATCATAATTATATACATATATATAATAAGATAATTATATTATAATTATATTTGAACAAATAATTTAAAAATAGTTTTATAGTTATTGTGCTTAAAAATATTATCTAAGAACTATTATATACATTCTTTTATTTAATCTATTTTTTAATGATTATTTTTTTCTTATTGATTATGAAACAATCATATATTGATTGAACAACAATATATTGATAAGATTTCACGATAGAGAATAAATTTTCTTTAGAAAAGATTAAATTAACTTACCGATTAGATCGCCAAGCCAAACATCGCCATCCTTGTGAAGGACGATCTGCGATAACTCCGAGAGTTCATAAAAATTGTTTCCCGGTAAACATGACAAACTCTTAGCCGTTTGATAGCATAATGCCCAAGCTTGTTCTTGGCTGACCGGCCCATTGAAAGACAGTAGAATATCTTTAAGATTTAATCGGCCGTTTGCATCAAGTTTACACTTTGATCTTTTCATCTGTTTCACTTTTTTTTCATTATTGGAGACATCGAGATTGTCCTTATAGCATGTTGAGATCTCTTTGTGCGTAGTCATTTTTCTGTAATTTCATTACGACGAATCGCTCGAATATATTTATATAATATAATAATCTTAAATAATTTAAAAAATGATTCATTTACGTGATCAAAGTTCATATATAAGTTCACAATTTAAATTTCATTCATTGCATGAATAAATAATTATTTTATTTAATTTATCAAATAAATTAACTCGAATTAACAATGTACCTTATTTTCTTTTATAAAATTAAAATAAGAATATTTCACAAAATATAATAGTCAATATAATAATAACATACTTATTATGCATCAAAAATATTATACATAAATAAAGTTGAACAAATATAATCTAATTCGATATATATTATTGAATACGTATCTATTTAAATGTTATCCAAATTTTTGTTGTTCTATAATAATGCTAATGTCTTTATTAAAAATTATATAAAACAATGACAAATAAACTTTTATAATGAAAATATATAATTCAAAGATAAAATCATCAGTAAAATGAATGAATATGTATACATATGTATATATATATGTATGAATAACATAAATAAATTTAAGAATTTTTAAATAAAACCGCACTAACATCATAAAGAAATAGAAAAGAATTATTCATTGATAATTCGTTATTCTATCTTCAAAAAACATAAATTTAAAATTTTTTTTTATTAAAAATTATATTTTTTTATTGTACCTATTTTATTTAATTGATTTTAACTATTTATACAACATTTCACGATTTTTGTAATAATTAAGAATTATTTATATATTATAGACTATAGACTCGAAGCGAATAGATATTTCAAATTACACAAGAACAAGAAGACTAAATATCTTTTATAATTCTCTACGTTCTTAAAAGATATATGAAAGCAGATAAACATTTATTACCATTCGTCATCATGTGCGCACACAGATATTATAGCGAGGTCACAAAATTAATCTAATGAAAAATTGAAAATGTTCTGATTGAATAGCAACATAAAAAAATGTCATCGCATTAATGATAGTGTTTATTACAATAATTTATAATTATATTATATCTTTCTGGAATTATACGCCCCTTTTATTGATCAAAATATTTATTAGAAAATATTTTTATAAAAAACTCATTTTTGACAAAATGAATTAAAACTAAAACAAATAAAGATATGAATAATTTTCGATAAATTTTGTATCTAATCTCTATTATTTCTTATTTTATTTTTTAATATGATAAATTAATTTTAAGTTCTTTAATATTATTTCAAAAAATAATTAAATATTATTTCATTCGAATATATTTAGTTCGAAATAGTTTGCTAATTAAATTGTCTTGTAATAGTTTTCTTTTAAATTTCATGAATCATGGTAAAATATTATTATAGAAAATAATTAATTTTCATATATATATAAAATATAAAATATTTTTAAATTACTAATAATACGAAAATTATCGATCATGCACATATATATATATATATGTACAAAATTATAACCAAGTGCATGAATAAATTACGTTATATTTTTCCTAAAAAATTAATAATATTTTGCAAAATATTAATTTTTATTAATTTTCTCAAATATTTTATTTTTATATCAAATAGTGTTCTTTACCATTTTTGGAATTTTAATCTATATTCTACATATATTCTACGTAAATATAAATAATAAAACTTCAGTGAATAATTCAAGGTTAACTATTTATGTTTATTCTATATAATTTTATAGATAAATATAGGAAAATATATTTATGAAATGTCATGAATTGTATTTGCACACATGATGAAAATAATTTACATGACTTAGCGAAAAATATTAATTTGATTTATTAATTAAAATAACTATTAATAATTTAAAATAAAATATCACAATAAAATAAATAATCAACATTGAATATCTATTTTTTTTTTTAAATTTTCTAAGATTTTTTATGACTGATTTTATTTTTGATAATTCGCATTGCATATATTACTTTATAAACTACTAAAATTATTTATTAATATACTTTGAAATATATTTTGAAATGTATAACTAATAAAAATATTTAAAAATTTATGATTCAAAAACAGATATATTATAAAAAAATCAAGTAAAGAAACAATCATTAAATTAAAATGGCAAAAATGCAATTTCATACATACTTTTTGTTATATGGGCGATAAATTATGGCACAAAACACATCATAGGATTTTTTCTACATTACATTATTTTGTTCAATACTCATACGAAGCTTTCCAAATCACTTTTTCGTTTAAGTGAAAAATTGTTTTAAGCTCGAACAACTTTTCACATTGAACTTTTCTCTTGCAACTTTTAACATTGATCATATTAATTTTTCTTGATTACATTGACAATCGAGATACAATGTGATATTTTGTTTATCGCCAATTTATAGTTGCAACGATTTATTGAACATTATAAAATTAAATGAAATATTCAATGTATATATGTATATTCTCAATTCTATATAAAATACTACATAAGAATACCGGTAGTAGTTTTAATATGTTACAACATTTTTAACTTATCAAAATTGTAAAATATACTTAAAGTGAATTTAATTTAAAAAAGGAAATTGATTTTAAATTCATTACAATATTTAAACTAACGAAAACGGGTGGTTAGGAACAAATTATGATACAGACTGAAACTACTGATCGCTACCATCCGATCCATAACCTGTACTCTTGTTATATGTATATGATTTGTATACATATATATGCATGAATTATCAAATGCATGTTATAAAATATAAGGATAGGATGAATTTTAAAATACATACACGTAAAATAGTATTATTTTTATTGATAGAAACTTTAATATTTTGTTTGTCTATTAATTTATTTTTTATAAAAAAGTATATTAAAACTTGTAAAAATTATACGAACCGATAATAAAAAATATAAAATCACTTATTTTATTTTTGAAAATAAAAGTAATTTAAAAGTAATTTAAACATACTTAATTGTACTATACAAGATTGAATACTATATATAAAATTGTAGATAGTTTAGATAGTTTTTTATTGGTCAATTTTGTAACATCGAATTGACCAATAAAAAAATTTGTCAAAGCGTACACGAATTATTATAGTATTTTTAATGAAACGAATTGCAAAATCACGTGATCAAGATTTAGAGAATTTAGAAAAGATAATTTAATTTCATAAATAATAAAATTTTAAGATATATATTACATAACTAATTTTAAATTTGATATTTTATTAAAAAAAATTTCAATCTTTTTTCTTAAGATTATTTAAATTTTTTATTTAAATACAAGTTATTTATAACTTTCTTGAAAGCTTATTTTTTAAGCCAAATAATATCAAGTTTGCAATGCGCAAAAGAAAGAAGTGGATATCCACCTTTAAAGGTATGATCATCAATATTAATAATTACAATTTAGTATAATATATATATTACTGATATTATGATTTTATAACCTTTAAAAATATGATTAATGAAAATAAATATAAGCAATTTTGTTGTGATTGTAATAAATATAGATAAAAAATGGATCACGAAGAAGAATTTCTTAATAGTTTCTTCGCTCAAGTTGCTCAATTGTGTACTGATAAAGCTAAAGAATTAGTTGTAAGTTATATTCATAAATTATATATTATATTTATTTTATTATATATTTTTATTTTTTAATTTTAAAAAAATCTTTAATAATTAGTTAAAAAATTAACGATTAATAAAATTATTGATAAGGAATTTTGAATTTTCTTATAATCTTTGAAAAAGCTTATTAAAAGAATATTGAAAAAATTTTAAATGGATAAAATGGATTTGATATTATAATAAAAATAAGATGATACAAGTTAATAATAAATTTAATTTAATGTGTTTTTAATTATTAATATTTAGGAAAAAGAACGTGGATTATGTCGTCAAACACAAATGGGTCCATGGGGAATGTTACTTATGCATTTACCACAAATAGCAGTAGCAGAACATTCATATGCAGATTTAGGTTTTCTTCATACCAAAAATAAAGGATTTTTAAGGAAAGATGTAAGAAAATTTTGTATAAAATATAATGAAAAAAAAATAAAATTAATATAATGAATTAATAAATAAAATTCATACATAAATATTTAATATTTATAATTATTTTCTTCCTTTTTTTTTTAGAATTCATTAAAAACGGTATATGAATCTTTAAAGTCTGATCTAAAAAGAGTAGAGGAAATGACTAGAGGAACCAATTCAATTGGTGCAACAGTTGCTGAGGTTTCTAATCAATTATGTCAATATATTACTGCAAAAATACAATTGATAGATTTGTTAGTATATTGTTGATTGATTATTGTTGAATTTATTATTAAATATTTCATAATATTATTATTATTACAGTTATGAAAAAATGTACAATATGAGTATCAATAGTAAAAGTATGAAATATCAAGAATTATTACAATGTATAGAAGGAATAGTAGAAATTCATTCTTTATCTTGCTCACATTTAGCATTAACTGCTATTAAAACAAGCTTAACGTAAGTACAAATGAAAATGAAATATTAAAAATTAATAATTAAAAATTATAATTATAATTTATTTTTTCTAAAATTAAAACATCTTTTAATTAGTTTAGAATGTGAAATATTAGTACAATTGACAAAAACGCAAGTTGAACTTCAACATTGGAGATTTTTATCAACATTAATGGCTCTTTATGGTGCACAGACACGAATGTCAGCTTGGGAAAGAACTTTACAAAGTAAAGAGGTTAGTATATTAAATAAAGAAGATATTATATATAAAGAAGAAATAAATATATTTAAATAATAAATATTATATTTTTAGTCATGGAAATTAGGTTTCAGTGCTTCATTTTTGAAAGCAAATCAACAACCGGCATTATATCAATGGTTAGTGAAACTACGTAATAGCATATTAGCTAAATACTCTTTATATTTTCATACTACTTTAAGTCAGCAGGCTAGTCCAGGAGAAATGAGAAGTATTATGAGCAAACAAAATGTGGATTATTATCATAAGTAAAATATTTTTAATTATTTTAATTAATAAATCATATATTTTGAGTGAATATTAATAAATATTTTTAGAATACAAAGTTTCCAACGTAAACACGATGTCTTAGCAGTATTAATAATATTTGACTCCAGAGGAGTAGAAGATGCAGGTCCAGGTTATAGACATCCTTGTAGAGAACCAAATACATTTGAACAATTTCCTGTTATTCTTAGTTATCCCAGTGTAAGTGTTTATATGAATATAATTGATTATGTAATATATGTTATATTTAAATTATATATAAATTAATTTGAATATAAATTAAATTATATTATTCAAAAAACTATATTATATTATATTATATTATTATATATAGTATTATATTTTAGGTATTTGTACAAAAGCCATCAATTCACTTAGATAATATACAGAAACGAATTAAAGAACGACATACAGAACTTCTTGCCATGGATAAAATTATATATTGTAAAAATGTAAAAGTATGTTAATAGATATTTCTTGGTATAAATTTTGTATTTTGATATATATTATTCTTTTTTTAGGATATGTGTATATATGCTATGTATAATACTGATCCTAAAATGACTTTGGTTACTGTATTTGAAAGTGGTAAACAAAAAGATAAAGAAGCTCATATAGCATCATTTATGACAGATTTATGTGTACATATTAGGTGCAATAAAATATATGAATCGTTGAAGTTATCAAAATAAGAAATTAAATAAATATATGTAAAAATGTTAAAATATTGCCAAAGATTAGCGAAAAAGAAATATCAAAAGTTATTTAAATAATAATACATATATGTTATATATTAAAATTTTTATGATTTGATTATCTATAATACTATATTTTTTTCAAAATAAAGTGTTTTTTATTATTTAAGAATTGTTTTTTTAGATAATATTTGAAGAATAATAGAGTTTAATATAATTATACTTTAATTAATAATATTTATTAAGTATAAATATATATAAATTTTTTATTGTTATATAACAAATTTTATAAAGACATAATTGCTCTTTTTAATGCCTTTTCTTTATTTTTCTTGACTTTATTTTTATGTTTATTGCTTTGAGTTGCATCTCTGAAAAGTTGTATTCCTTCTTTTTCTTCAATAATTCGTTGTATATGCATCATTCCATGTAAATTAAATCCAATTATATCCTAGAAGTATTAATTTTTAATTAGTAGTGTTTACAAAATTATTTGTGAATAATTTATAAAATACAAATGTTTTTTTACCCTTAGATCAGAAACTTTTTTAATAGTAAGTGTTTTCACAATTTCTAAAATAGGTAAAAGTTCTTGAGTAGCTATAATTGGGCCATGATGAGCTTGTATTAAACATAATGCTAATTTTGCAATTAATTCCGTGTGATAATTTGATTCTAATAATTTAGGAAGCATTTTAAGAATTTCACATGCAGCTGAGTAAGGTAATAATAGTAATGATTCTTCTAAATCGCTAAAATTAATTTATTAGTAAGTTTATATTTATATTATATTTGTGCTAAATACATATATATACTTTATATATATTTTTTACCTTCCTCTAATTTGTTTAATTATTTCTAATAAATAATCTTCCGTATTTGTACAATTATAAGCTTGCATTTGTAAAGGAATAACAGGTGCTTTATCAGTAGTTTTTGACAATTGTTCATTATATTCTTTAGATATATCAAGACATTCTAGTATCAATTCAGCCTGAATATTAAATAAAATTTTATGATTTAAATTAAGCAATTTTTATATAATTTATTGATATTTACCCCTTTTTCACTAGATACTGTTTTTCTTGATGGTAAAGATTGTTGTTTTTGTCCTGGAACAACAGTACTTTCTCCAGTAGCTAATTCATTTTCTTGATGTTCTCTTTCTTCTTCTTCTTCATCTTGAAGAACTAAAGGTTCTAATGTTCGTTCATAAAGTCTAACAACTTTATCAGATCCACAAGAAACAACATATATTCCATTTGGTGAAACAGCACAATTCCATGCTTTACCTGCATGTCCCTAGATAGAATAATTTTATTTATTATTATTACAATTATTGTTTATTCATCTATAATATAATATAATATAATATAAATTTATAATTAAAAATAATTTATTACTTGTAATGTCACAATTTTTTGAAAAATATCTGCATCCCATTGTTTTACTTTGCCATCTTTTCCACAAGTAAAAATATAATGTGTACCAGGTACAAATGAAAGTCCGGTTATGGAGTCATCATGAGCAAAAATTGATTTATGACAATCTCCAAAATCTAAACCCCAAATTTTTATATTTCGATCTGCAGAACCAGTAGCAATAAGTGTTGAATCACTTGATATATCCATACATAAAACTGGTAACTTATGTCCATAAAGAGAAATAAAAAACTAAAATTGCAAAATTTTTAAATATTATGCAACATATATATATTGTGACTATATATATTTATATATTAAATATATGCAAATATATTTTCACAAAATTACCTTAAATGTATCAAGAAAAAAAATTTTTACAGTAGAGTCAAGTAATGCAACTGCAACAAATCTATTATTAGGACTTATTCTTACACATAATACAGTATCTTCTAATTTTAAAGTTCTTAAGTGCAAAACAGATAAAATTTTTGCTTTTATTTCTCTATCAGGATCTTGAATAAGTTCAAAATTCCAAAATTTTACTGTTTGATCTCCACCACCACTAGCCACTCCTTTCTATAAAAACATGTAAAATAATTATATATGAGAATAAAATTTATATTTTATATTATAGATAGTAAAAAATATTTATATTAAATATATATTACTTTATCAGGTAATAATGTAACACTCCAAAGTTCTTTAGAATGTGCAGATATTTCCTCTAAAATATCACCTGATGCGATATCAATAATTAACATTTTACCATTTTTTAAACCAACAATTAAATGTCTATCCCCAGGTACAAATATTGCTGTTAAAGCATAACTACATTCTACAGTACGTAAACAGGCTAAAGTTGGTCTAAAATTATAGAAATTAATATGAAATTTTTTTTATAAATTTATTGATTTTATATATATACCTATTCCATAATTTCACAGAATCAGCACTAGCTGTAGCAAAAGCTAAATTATCAGAACTAAAACAAATGGCACGGATTTCTGAGCGGTGACCATGATTTGTTATTGATCTTAAATGTTTTATTTCATCTTTCTCTTTTATGAATAAGGAATATAAATCAATGGAATTATTATTCAATCCTATGGATATCTAAAATAATAACAAATAAAAATTAAATAAATATCATTTTCAATTTTTCAAAAAAAATAAAAATTGTTTATAACATACTCTCAGTTCATCATTTCTACCCATTATTATAGATAATCCTTTAATTTTGGCAGATACTTTGATAGGATGTAACCGAATAATTTCATCTTTTATAGTTGATGTTCCTGAGAAATTTGCTTCTATATCTTTTCCATTTCTATTTAATAGAAATATACATATTATGCATAATAAAGAAATATTTAAAATTTAAAAAAACTTTTAATTTTTATAAATATATTAGAAAAATATCTTGACATACTTTTCGGCTTTTTTTCTTTCTTTACGTAATCGTTTAAGAACATTTTCTTTTATTTTAGAATCAGGTAACAATTGAAATAATTCTACAGTATTATCTAAACCATAACATCCAATAATAGTATAAGTATTATCAACTTCAAGAGACACAACTCTTCCATGTCCACTTCTTAATATACTTCCTACTTTTTCACATCTTAAAGGATGTTTCTATTATATGAAATATATATATATAATATATAAAATTTTTATTAAATGTTATATAATATTAAATATTAAATATTAAAATATATTTCAGATATAAATATAAATTAATTAAATATTATACCACATCGCTAATTTCAGTATCATCAGTGAGAGTTAAATTATGTAGATTAACATCAAAATCTGTACTATCACTTTCAATAAAAGATATTTTCCATATACGTAATTCATTGTCATTACAACCAGTTATTAAATATTGATCATTTTTAACTAATACTAAACTCCAAACCTTAAAAAAATAAAATAATGTTATTATTATTATATATTATCAATTATATATTAATTATATATTAATCATATATTTATTAAATTTATTTACCTCTGTTCTATGACCAACAAGAGTTCTAAAATTATGTTCTGTGTCTAAATCCCAAAATTTTACAAATGTATCTTTACTACAACTAATAATTACATTATGATCTTTCATAAATGCTAAATTAGTTATTACATCTTTATGTCCAATTAATCGACATATTCCAATTTCAGCAACAACATCCCAAAGAATAATATCTGTATCCTAAAAAAAAGTAATTAAAAAATAATTTTATATATTTTATTTTCTCTATCAAATTTGTTTACCTTTGAACCTGAAGCTAGTCTATGTCCTTCTCTATCATATCTCAATGTTGTAATTTCAGATTTATGGCCTACAAATATGCTTACATTTTCACCTATTTTCAAATCAAATATTTTTATAGTACCATCTGCATAACCAACTGCTATATGTTGTTTATTAGGAGATGGAGCTAAATATGTTACATTTACTTTATCACCTGATAATACTCGAACCTAAAAATTAAAATAATATAACCAATTATGACAAAGTTGATAAATTAGTATTTTACCTTTTCTCCTAAACGTAAATCCCATATAAAAACATGTTCACATGCTCCAACTGCTACAAATCTACCTTCATGGTCTTCTAATTTTACAAAAACAATATTACAATTAGGACTAACAATTATATTTAAATTTCCAGCTGGTACATATCTTAAATATTGTTTTGTTACACCCATTTTTTTTTATTAATTATATTAAATAATAAATATAAATTTTATTTATAAAATTATAATGAAATAGTAAAAAAAATGTTTATTTATTCTTATTTATTCTATAATGTATATCTCATAATTTTTATATAACAAGGATTTATTTAAAATAATTATTTAATTTTAAAATTATAGTTAGTATAGTTTTAAATTAATACATTTTATAATGTAGGTTACAAATTCATGTGGTCGATGTTTATACTAGAAATTGGATAAAAAAAAGAATTAGCGCCATCTCTTGAATGCTTTTAAAACGATTTTTTGAAATAATGAGTTTGACATTTCGATGAAAAATTTTTCGAAATCAACGCCATCTCGCGTTTAAACATGGATTCTAACTTGTTATTAGTATAGCAGAATATACAAAAAAATATTCGAAATTACAGATGATAAAACATTATGCGAGAAGAATAGAAAGAATATTTTCCATTATTTTGAAGATTCCATTTGCCGTTTGGAAAATTAATTAATTTTATTCGTTTTCTAATCAAAATTTCGATATTTTTAAGCTTGTATCTTGTAGCTAGAGTTTCAGGCAAGTTTCTCGTATAAATGTGAAATTCTTTTTCATTAATTATTTATTAACAATTAATGTATTTCATTATCACTTAATTCTAATTTTGTCGAAATATCGAAAACATATTTCAAAAAATCATATTTTTTAAAAATTACTGGAGATATTGCTAATCATTTATTCTAATTTATTCTATCTTTAAAAAAAATTTTTTTAACATTTGAAAGATAGATTAGATGCTAAAGATTAATTTTTATCTTATCTCTATTATTCTCCTATTATTTTCTGTCTTTTTTTTTATCTGTTTCATTTATAGTACTGATTTATTCCATCTAATTATCTAATTTATTTCTGTTCTTTTTCTACTATTTTCTTTCCTTGTTTAATATTTGATCTTGGCGTGTGATTATAAATGAGATATGAATGTCAATAAAACTTTTCGTATATTTTTTATGTTGAAATAATGTTTTAGAGTTAATATCAATATATA